TTCTTCTATTATATATATATATATATATATATCAAATGACCGTATTTTTATTTTTAGCCTGTAATAGAAGAATTTTTATTTAATTTGATTATTTCATATTCCTGTGGTTTTTTTTCGCGCGGATAAATGGCATTTTCTATACTTCCGAACAAATCTCATTTTGAGTGAGAGAGTAGAGAGACCTAAGAAAGTGATTTTTTAATGATTTTCCAATATTCGTTCGCGCAAGACAATTGTCTTTCAACCTAAGAGGATTATTATCCCTTATCCTTACCCGGGGGCCCCCCGGCCCGAGTAAAATATTTATCCCAGTAACGCCCAGCTCTTCTTCGCATGATTCGCAGATCGCCGTGACTCATAAATACGTTATGACGTGAAGTAACGAGTGCAGGTGCATTATTCAATCGCGGTGTTTCCGCGAATTCGCCGTGACTCTCGAGGGATAAAATCGTTTTCAACAAGGGCGTTGTTGAAGAGAAAACCGACAAACAATTTAACTTATTAGTCGCGGTCGATTATTTTTCAGAAACGCCTTTGAAAGCGAGTTTGAATAATTTATTTTCGATATTCAACGATTAATTTTGTCGTAATTAATTAGACCTTGTTCTCTAGCAAGCTCGATCAATCTTGACTCTGTTCAGTTTGCAAATAACGGTATCATTATTCATGTTTGAGAACGTCGGGGAAATAATGGATTTTTAAAGGAAAAGTGCATCGCGCGAACGTCGCGGATACGGCACGGAGCAACCAGGTAGAAAAATCCAGCAGCCATATCTTTTGTTGACTGGTCCTCTTACCTTTTTTTGCTCCACCGCGCCGGACCCAACAGGTTAGCGTGGCCGTGCAGGTTCTCGCCGCATCTCGCCACTCCACTCGACGATTTCGAACCGGACCGGAGCGACGCGACGTGTATTACCGGCCTACGTGTGGCTGAGCCTTATGTAAATACACCGGGTGTCCCGTAGTGCACGTAGCCACAAACCGACGTGTCGCAATGGGTCACACGTACTCGAGCGGTTTTCTGTCGAGTGTGCGGGGCATTGTAAAAAAAAGAGGCTCGGAATTTATAGGGCACTCGATGCTGACAATGAGAAAATTCGGTAAAAAAAGAAACGTTTAATCGACACAGGTCGAGAGATCGACCTGTGCCTCAAAATTGGAGGAGCTATTCGATTTTCGCAAAACGGATAATCTTTTTTTAGCACTCTCTATCTCTATCTGATTGTGAGAGACGAAAAATAAATAAGCTCGAAGCAATCGATTTTGATTTCGATTTATATCGCACCAAATTAATATTGAACTGCATAAATTTCTCAAATTTCCAAGTAATTACTTGAAAACATAACGGCATAATGCATTAAGTCCGTGTTGAACTTCTAAAGA